CTCGGTTCGCCGAAAAACTTCGTCGTACGGGCGAGATTGCTCGTGTTCCTGGGAACCGAGCATACCCGGCAACTGGGGAAAGCTCTGCCACTCTGGCTTTGGCCTCGGTCGTGGTCAACCCACGCCAGAGTACGCGCGGGATCGCCCGTGATATCGGTGAGTAATGATTGTTATGACTTTCAATACATAATCAACATTGATAAATTTAACAAAAAAGAATGCATTGGGTTAAAATTATATTGTAGGATTCGCTTGCCAGCAAATCATAATGTTTAATAAAAATAGATATTTTTATAAATAAATGTGTGAGATGCACACATCAAATTAATCAATGTTGAAACGTTTCAATTTTTTTCTGAATATTAATATAAAAATAGTGATATTAAACATACTTATAAATGTGATTGCCTTTTTTAGGCATTAGTCATAGCTCTGTGTGGCGCATCTTGAAGCGTGATGGTCATCATCCCTACAAGATGTCGCTACACCAGCAGCTGTTACCTCCAGACATCACGGCGAGGCTTCAATTCTCAGAGTGGTGCAAGAGGCAGTTGCAGGAAGACGAAGCTTTTTCGAGGCGGATCCTCTTCTCGGACGAGTCCACGTGCAATAACCTGTGTTGTTTCAATCGCCAGAACACCAGTCATTGGGCTCAAGAAAACCCCCACTGGATGAGGGAAATTCCGAACCAATTCCGATGGAAGCTGAACGTGTGGTGTGGTATAGTCGGAGAGCATATAATCGGGCCACATTTTTTTGAAGGTACCCTGACTGGCATCATGTACGGCGAATTCTTGGGTCACGTCCTACCCAGCTTGCTGGAGGATTTGCCTCTTGAACTTCGGCGCGACATGTGGTTCCAGCAGGACGGTGCACCACCGCATAGTATCCGACGAAATGCTGATCTTCTTGATCTTGCGTTTCCTGATCGTTGGATCGGGATTCGTGGCCCGGTTAGATGGCCTGCCAGGTCACCTGATCTGACGCCGTTAGATTTTTTCCTTTGGGCACGCCTAAAGAATTTAGTCTACGCGACACCAGCTACCACCGTCCAAGACATGCGTCAACGGATTGTTGATGCATGTGCTTCCATCACGGTGAACGAATTGCGTAATGTGCAGCGTTCGTTCATCGAGCGACTCGGGGAATGCGTGGATGCCCAGGGCGCCCATTTTGAACACCGATAGAGTCCTTTTACTGCCTACACGCCATTAGATTTTTTTGTATAGATTTCGCATGTAATATAGTCTGTGGCATCCTTTCATACATAGCGGGAAAACCTTCATCAACGGCGGGGTTTAATAATTGCATTAACTAACTTATTTCATTGTTCGCGTTGCATGCATGCCCGTTTTAACGTAGTATCAGCTTGTTTTTGTTTTATTCCTCTAGCAACACTCTGGGAATAGGCTCTTTTCAGAGCCGCCAAAAAAATCTTACGTAAGATACATGCAAGGTGACATAAAACGGTTCTTTTAAGAACCACATTTAATTAACAATAAAAATGGTTTTCTCTTCCCCCTCCCTTATAATGTAATATTGAAATATTAATAAAAATCAATGATGTCGATATTATGTATTGCGTTCTTATTTCTACTAAAGATAAGTAATTCCAGGTTTTCTCGTAAATGTTTAGACAACGCACAAAAGTAAGATTGTAGTCAATTATCTAGAAACTACTTTGACTTCCTATCATACTTTATCTGTGTCTTTCTGCAGAATATTCTCTATGACTTCACCTATGACTTCTTCTTTGTTTTTCTCCGTATACACATGTATTTTTCGTCTCAACACAATTAATTATGATTTAATGGTGATTTAATAATTAATAAAACTTTAGGTGATTGTAATGTACGGGAAAGGTCTTAAGAAACCTGCGAACAAATCGGCTCCCTTGACCACAACCAAAAGCATTTATTTCCTCCGATTTTACATTTATTTTACGCTCTTACATTTGTCGTGCCCTCTCGCCGGGCCGTTCCTCACACATACCAGTACACCACAGGCTTTTTGCTTGGCTAATTTATTGAGGCCAAGTACATAAGTCACTACATGTTTTCCTATTATATGATTTACCACTGGCCCATCATTTTAATTATATTTTCAATGTTTCCTATAACGTTTTCGCTACTCTTGTATGTTACTGCTGCTTCCCGTATTTAATTATGATTTAATGGTGATTTAATAATTAATAAAACTTTAGGTGATTGTAATGTACGGGAAAGGTCTTAAGAAACCTGCGAACAAATCGGCTCCCTTGACCACAACCAAAAGCATTTATTTCCTCCGATTTTACATTTATTTTACGCTCTTACATTTGTCGTGCCCTCTCGCCGGGCCGTTCCTCACACATACCAGTACACCACAGGCTTTTTGCTTGGCTAATTTATTGGATTTGATTTAATATTTTTGCTTGGTATTTTTTTAGCAAGGATTTATTTTTTATGAAATGGCTACACTTTTAATACTTGGCGTAACCGTTTTGTTTTGAAAAAACATTTTTGGTGTTATTTGATATCTTTTTGAAAGTAAGAACATCATGAAAAAATTAAACAAACTCATTCTACATATATCTCAGTGATGATTAAAAAAGTTAATTCACAGTAAACAGTAAAAATAAAGATGAGTAGACACTACTAAATGTATAACAAGAGACACAGATTGCGGTAAAAATTTTACAAAATACTTCGTCTAATATTTGAAACAGCTGACAACAAAAAAATTAATCGAAATTTCTATAAATCGTTAACAATTTTTTTTCTCGATCAAGAAGTAAGTGCTGGTGTTGAGCACGGGTTACGAGGATTAATTGAAACTAGGGTTAAAAATAACATTTGATCAGATAGCAGCTAAAACGCTTGAGCAGCCTCGTTATAGGCGCTTATTTGAAACAGCTGACAACAAAAAAATTAATCGAAATTTCTATAAATCGGTAGAAATTTTTTTTCTTGATCAAGAAGTAAGTGCTGGGGTTGAGCACCGCGGCTGGATCATAATTGATAAGATGTAATCCTTGCAATGTTGTTACTCGTGAAAACGCAACATAAGTTTGTCCACAACTAAATGTAGAATTGCCTGTCTCTACAAGGGCATTCGTTAAGCTTAAACCTTGACTTTTGTGGATGGTTATACCATAGCTAAGGCATATGGGGAATTGTTTTCTTATAACAAATGCTCCATCCATTATTTCGAATTTGACACTCAAACGTTCCAACGTATATTCTACTCCGGACGGCAGTACAACTTTAATACTTTCGACATCGTTTGTATCAATAGCTCGTCTGAACGACACAATTTTAGCAATTGCCCCATGGACAAGACCTAAACTGACATCAACGATCAAGAAGTAAGTGCTGGTGTTGAGCAAGGGTTACGAGGATTAATTGAAACTAGGGTTAAAAATAACATTTGATCAGATACTTGGCGTCGAGACGCTGCCGTGTCTCTTGAAAACGCTTGAGCAGCCTCGTTATAAGCGCGGGGATGATAAAATCTAGAGACGCGTAAAAGAATTTTACGCAACGTTATCTCATTATGCCAGCATTGTATACTATACAGATCAAGAAAGAATATTCAAGCTCTTTTTCTACAATTTGCGCTATCTCGTTCTAAACATAATAAATACGCATCTTTAGAATTGCGAGGCCAATTACGCTGTTCAACTGTTGAATCGTCGACGAATATCCAAGCAGTGCCTTTGCCTCGCACCATCGTTGTATAACGTATATCCTTATTTTCATCGTCATCATGATGAAATATTACGCTCGTAACTTTATAATTATGATCGTTGACTTTCACCGAAGATGTGGGTAGAGCTTTAATTTTGATATTTTTCTTCATCAGCTTCGCTTCTCTAAATTCAAATATTTCTAATTTAACAACCAATACTTGCCTTGTCAATTCTACTATTGCATTTTCGAGCAAAGGTACGTCCCCGCATTCCTCACAAGATGCATGGGAACTCTTCCACTTTGATGTATTATAATTGAATATATCCTGCAAAGTTAGTGATTTTTTTTTTGAACTAGTAGGTAAATCAAATGAGAGAATAATATTTGATGACTCGGTAAAATTCCATTTATAACCGCAAGAGGAGCACCATTGTTTTTTGGTAAGTTTATGTTCTACGACGCTGCGAACAGCAGATACTTTTTCACAAAGAGAATGGATAAATGAAATAACGTCATGCTGACAGTTACCAGTAAAATCGATTATACCCTTGTCACTTGCCAATTCTCGTATTGCAAATGTATCGATGACAACTTCATTATTTGACATATGTCTCAATAAAAGTTTTCGAGGCATCCATTATCTTACCATGAAGGATCACGTCTCTAATCGAAGAACAAGGTAATTTTCAGGCTGTGTATGTGGGTTGTACACATAGTGATTAATAAGACAGGGTCGAAGTCTCCTCTTTAAATACGTGGATTCACTAATTTTATGCACTTCTAAACACCGTTTAGGCATGGTTTTTGTAATATCGTAGAATTTCGCAAAATTATAGAGACTCAGAGAACTTAGACTTTCAGGCCTCGCAGGATAGTAAGTGTCGATCAACGCAGGACAAAATAGATCTGTCGATTCTTCGTCCAACGATTCAATTTCTTTCCGAGGTTTTAATTTTCGACTTCTAATTTTATTGATATCGAGCCACTTTATAGTGGTCCACGGGTCAGTTCCATGCAGCGACATACCCAAAAGAGTATCAGCAGCTTCAAGAGCACCGCACTCCCTATGATTCAACATTCGCATACCTATATTCCAAAGACAGAATTGCAGGGATTTTGTTGAATCTTGCACTTTAAATGCGTCTGTTGCATTGGACTTCTCCGCTTTGGTTTGATACTTGGTTACATACGCAGTTAAAATTGTCGATAATTCACCAATGAATTGCATATCCATATTTCCTACCCAGATACAAAGAATAGCTGGATTGTAATTATTAATTGAGGCTTCATTTGATGCGCGGGGCAAATCATAAAGCCTGCTTCTTGTTTTCAATCGTCTTCTTCCTGCAATTGACACAGCCACATCTCTAATTTTAATTGGCTCTGTGAATGGTCGCGGATGGCCGAACTTGCACAGTCGTGTAAAACCGGTTTTGGTTTTCTTAGATCGTAAACAATAACCATTATGACGGTGCCGCTGATAAGCATTAACACGTCGATATAATTGTGGGGAAACATTTTTATCTGGCATCCTGCATGTCACATACTTTAATATAAATGAAGCTATTTCTTCCGTCGTAGATTTGCCGATTATCGGTGCATCTTTGATCCAAATCAAAATATGAAAGTGTTGTGCACCCCTAGACTGGTACTCTCGCCGATAAAAGTAGTGGTCAACTTCACCGATAGGATTGTTAGGTGACAAAATAAAGTCAAGCACAGCTTTCAACTTTATCTCGACAAATCTAGAAACCGAAACTGGATCAAGTGTAATAAGTTCGTTGTTATCAACATTTATATTCTCCCAAATTTTATGTATATCACGGAGATATTCTATGAGGTCGGACCACTCCCACTCACTGGGACTGATTGTTAAGAACCATGTAGCAAGTCCATAATGACGCGTCATGCATGTTACGTTATTCCTAGGAATTCTCCAATATTGTTCCGAATTACGCAATCTGGCAAATGAGGTCGGACCACTCCCACTCACTGGGACTGATTGTTAAGAACCATGTAGCAGGACCATAATGACGCGTCATGCATCTTACGTTATTCCTAGGAATTCTCCAATATTCTTCCGAATTACGCAATCTGGCAAAAATTGTACTTAAATTGGATTCAAGTTCATTCTTAGAAAGCCTTTCTAAGTAACTAGCAGCAGTATATTTTTCACGGGGATTGGTTACATTCATCTTATGGAAAATTCCAGCATTTATTTGTCGTATATTGCTGTCGTTCAACAAATAAAAGATTATTGCAAATTCATACGAAACTGAGAATGTGCAGACATTAACTTTGCTTTTATGAATTCATAATCAGTAAGACGTACTGTTCTTTCAGCATGCTGCCCGTTGTTCCATGAGGATATAAATCAGGAAAACACATTGTGTCTAAAGCTTTAAAACGTCTATCAAGGGGAACATCATTAACCTTCAGCATTTGATAGAGCTCTGTTGCAGTCGCGTTAACCCTTTTTTCGTGTATCGGATATATCGTAAACTGTTCATAATATAAGTCGGATTGCGACATTTGTGTCAAGAGTGAAGCTTTCTTTTGTTCATTAATATCGAGAGTAGACTTATTATCCCCCAAAAAACACTTACGTGTAAAAAACTACGCCAAGTACAGGATTGCTGTGAATTCCTCTAACAAAAAGTATTGATATCATATTATTGAGGCCAAGTACATAAGTCACTACATGTTTTCCTATTATATGATCTAGCACTGGCCCATCATTTTAATTATATTTTCAATATTTCCTATAACGTTTTCGCTACTTTTTTATGTTACTACTGCTTCCCGTATTTAATTATGATTTAATGGTGATTTAATAATTAATAAAACTTTAGGTGATTCCTTATCGAGTACTACTTGGCGGGTCCATGCCAGGAATTCCAAAG